ACTAACGGGGTTTTGACCGTGACTCACATGAGGCTTGGGGCAAAAGCCTCCCTCCAACACGCTTTGACCCGCGCCCTGGTGCATGTGCTTTTTTGTTTGGACCCAAAGGGCTTTTCCTGCGTGAAGCGTCATTTTTCCAAGTTCGCACCTTGACTTTGGTCTCTGGCGGTAAAGGGTTTTTCCTGCGTGATGTCTCTCTTTTCGCAGTTCACAGCTTGTTTGGCACAGGCAACATCGCGCCGGCAATGCAGTTTGCGGAGATGTCTGCTTAGATCTTCAGCGTCGGGAGGACTGTTTCCCTCGTAGAAGACGGAAGCTTGGAGTCTTGCATGCTTTGACGCTGGCATGGTGTTGGCACGGTGTCCGACCTGTTTGTCGAACTCCGGTTTTGGCATCGTGACTAACTACAAGGATTATACTATAATATAATATAATATAATATACTCTTATAAAAAATACGATAAAATATTATACTATCTCATCATAATAAAGGCTTTGCATCAGGCCATTTGGGGGGCTTACACAGGGCTTGAACGAACGACAGCCAACCTGACAAAGCCAAGGGTTTCGGATTTTCGGTCATACGCCGTCGCCCATCATCGCACTAGCAGCAGTAGGAAACGGTATGACCGCCGATGTGATCCATGAGGGTAGTATTTCAGAACATATATGGACACTGTGGGGCCGTAGATATGTATTCTGGAGTAAATATATATATAGACAAAAGCGACCCATGCGACCACTATTGAACCGCTATTGAGGTGCTGCCTCTCTACTTGTGGGTTCGGGCAGAATGAGGAAAGTCACCCGCCACGCCCAACTTGCCCCTCCGCCCCTCCGCCACAGCATCGAGTCCACTTCGTGTTAAGCATGATTCTAGAACTCCGGCGCCGATCGCGCGTGAAGTGAAAGCACTGTGAGTGCCGTGAAATTTGCATGTTTAGAGGCAGCGGGATGTTCCTAACCTCCCCCAACCCACCCAGCCGCCGCGCCGACCCAGCTGTCACATTCATCCGCCAATGACCCGGGCCCGGCAAAATGTGCAAGACCTTCCGCCGCCGCGAAAAGGAGCTTAGCCACACACAAAAGAAAACCCCGGAGAAACTTGGACAACGCAGGCTGAAACAAGCATTAGCAGGGGTCGTTTCGGGTGGCGCTAGCTCCAACAACAATGCAAAGACCAGTCTGAGCACGAGATGTCCTCATGTTGCCTGCTGAAGCCTTCGAACCAGGACTCAACCGCATCCATCACTTCAATACAATGGCTTGATACGAGGACCGTACATGCTAAACACCAGCACTAACCCCGCGATGCATACAGTGCCGCATACTGTCACAGCACTTGGCTCACATTGAGGAAGGGAGACCTGTACCTAAGAACATGGACCATGAAACCTACACATCCCACACCTACGCGTCGTACACTCCATGTAGACCCGAAACTCCCGACCCCAAACTGAGAAGAAAAGAAACCTAAACTTCAAGCTCGGAACACAAAAAACCAAGCCGAATGCCCTTCAATCTTCCGCAGCCTGCCTCGGCTTGGCTAAGGATGAGCGTGGGAAGCAGCGTGTCCTGGCTTGTTGTTTTGGACGATGGATCCACTGCTCTTGAAGGACAACCGCTAAGATCAAGAAAAGATATTGACAACAACAGCAACAATGACAACGACAACGACAACGACAACGACAGCGACAGCGACAGCGACAGCGACAGCGACAGCAACAACAACAGCAACAGCAACAAGGACAACAACAATGAGGTATTGGGGGCACCTGTAATAATGTAATACCCCACAACTTCTTCATTAAAGGCTGGGATTCTTAACGCACGCTTGCTTGAGTCGATGGCCCACATGTCACTTCGGGGTTTCGGGCTTGGTTTAGGGATTGGGGGCTCCCTGCCCAAAAGATCAGTGGATCACCAGCTACTTGGAAGCATTAGCAACTGAGGGTTTAGGTTTCTGGAACCTTAAAACAGAAACCTTGAAGCTTAGTGTTCAGGGCTTAGGGTTCCAGGTCGAACCGCGCATCGTGCTAGTCCTATTGTCAGATTTGGTCACCCCATCTTCGTACTCTTGTCATAACCCAAAGGGCTTTATTCCAATGTAACCAAAAGGATTCTGAGAGAATGCTATTACCAACCAATCAGGTTGGGAAGTGGGCCGCAAAAAAAATCGTTCTGGGCTCCCTCTCCAGCCTGACCTGGAAGTGGGCACACGTAAAACCTTGAGGGTTTAGGGTTTAAGATTTCGGTTTTTAAGCTATCCTGCGACTCCGAATCAACCGGACAATCCCCACAACAAGAAAAGAACTGCTCAAGACTTGAGAAGCCGCGGCACGCCAGAGACCTCCTGAGTCCCTTTCCGAAAAGCATTCCATGAGGCCTTCTCCGGGGCCTCCCAGTAATCCGAATCCTGGCAGATGGAAACGCCAGCATTGACGCAACGTGGGGAAATGAACACAAGACTCGGCAACCATGCTCGATTTTATGATTTGGGGTTTGGGTCTATCTGTTCTAGCTTCCCACAAATGAACCTGCATTGCTCTGCCACGGCAGATTGCCATCTATAATGATAGCAAACACGGAACCAGACGTCACGTTCTCCTCCGCGTAGAGGAGCTGGAATATTCCGAGATCCGGCTGCGGACCGGCACAGCAACCACGACCAGTTACTATTGCTAGTTACGAATGGAGCTGTGAATGCACACTGGTTCAAAGGGCCGGTAGCTCACAGGGTGGTTGGCAAAACACCCGCTCGAGAGCGTTCCCTACAAGGATGATTCCGAACCGCGCAGACCCTCAAGTTCATCTAGCATGAGGCCTTGAATACTTTCAATCGGGTCGTTGCGATTCTCTTTTGCCTCGGACACTGATCTGATGCACTTCGAAACAGCAAATGCCACATGCTATCCGCTATCCTGCCATCGGAATCTCGATAGTTCAACAGATTGTACAACCAGCGACGTGCGTGGTATGTATTTGACAGCCTTGCTCGGAGCAAATCGCCGTAAGAAAATTTTGTTGCTTGTGGTAAGAGTTTGTTTGGTGGCTAGGACTACTTTTTCTAAGCCTTCATGGCCGAAAGCCTTTCAAAGTGCAGAACGGGAAACCCGATGCTGCAATGCCGAGTTCGTCTACGTGCAGGTCTCTCTCTCGCCCTCTCTGGGTTATGGCCTTTAGACTCTATGTAAGCCTTTTTCATATAACCCCTAAACCCTCAACCCTCAACCCTAAAACCCTAAACCCTAAACCCTGAAACCCTCAACCCTAAAACCCTAAAGCCCTAAAACCCTTAACCTTAAAACCCTCAACCCTAAAACCCTCAACCCTAAAACCCTAAAACCCCCGCAACAGAGCCCCAAAACCAGTATGACTCCGAGAGCCAGGTTTTCGTGCGCTTGTTTCAGAATCTGCATTAGGGCTGAGCTAAACACCCTAAACGACAACTCTCGGCGATCACGGTAGCCTAAGGTAGACTCGAAAAATCTGGAAGCCACAACGTCTTGAACCTAAAGAACTCCTGATATCCAAAATGAGAAATTCCGAAACACTCACCCGAAGCAGCAGGCCCTAACATATCCTAGTACCCTGGAACCCAAATCTGCGGCAGAAAGCCCTAAACCCTACCTTGTAATTCAAGGTAAACTCTCAACCCTGAACCGTGGATTGCAAGATCTACTTCCTTGCCTCGGGCCCAGAGGGGTTCAGGGGTCCCAGCATCCTAGAACATCTAGTTGATTCCCACCTCACGGATGGCCCCAAGTCCCAGGCCAAGATGGTGCCCCAATCCCCAAAACCTCAGACCCTAAAAACCCTAAACCCTAAACCCTAAACCCTAAAGTACAGGCATCATCTCAGGCCCGCGCGTTAAGGACCATCCGGAGAGTGTGGACGTCGGCAGCAGCTCCGCCGCCACCTTTCCGGTGCACCAACACGAACTTCCCGGGAAAGGCGCTTAAGACTCAGAGTTTCGGCGTTTAAGACTCAGAGTTTCGGCGTTTAGGGTTTAGGGTTTAGGGTTTAGGGGTTTAGGGTTTAGGGTTTAGGGTTTAGGGGTTTAGGGTTTAGGGTTTAGGGGTTTAGGGGTTTAGGGTTTAGGGTTTAGAGCTTCGGCGTTGAATAGCGGGGGGCGTCAAGCTGATTGCTCCGAGTATTGGGCCTATTACGGCTGCCAGGCTTGTAGCAGAGCAGACAGGTCCGACCCCGAGTCTTAGATTCAGGGAGCCGACGTGAAGTAGGTCTCCCGAGCTTGAAGATACCAGCAAACTGGGCTGATTCATGTAGGGGTCTTAATAAATAGAGCGGGGTTTTGGGGCCCATTATACTGTAATCATAAAAAGGAATCCCCCAAAATAGTGTAGGTAAGTATTTTGGCCCCTATAATACCATAAGGGCTCAGGATCTAATTGAGCCTTTTGCGAGACCTTGGGTTGGGTGCATGCCCTTCGCCCGGTGCTACCAAAGTTCGGCGAATGCCGCGACAGTACCGAGTTGCAAGCCCTGCACCGTTTATGTGCAGTATACCCCCAACCCCGCGACTTTCTGCACTAACCCTCAATCGCCCCGAAACCCTGACACAGAGAGAGACACAGAGAGAGAGAGAGACAGAGAGAGAGAGAGAGACAGACAGAGGTCTCAGCGTCTCAGAGTTTAGAGCACAGCCAAGGAAATAACTGCTCTTGGAACTTTGTCGTTCAAGCCCCAAGAGCCGATGGGCTTTTACGAAACGTATATACACATATACATACATACAT